CTTCATATAGTACTCTTCATTTCTTAGACACTCCTGGCCTTCCTCCGATTCGGGGTGTTAATTAGACAAATTGTATCTGTGTCACATGTTAACATGTCATTCTGCCATTGATTCTTGTGACGCGGATATTGTTGTTTTAACTGAGACTTGGTTATCTGCAACGGTTCGGGACAACGAAATTTTTTGTGGTTCCAATCCTTTCAACGTGTACCGATGTGACAGAGAGGCTAGAAGTGGAGGTGGGGTACTTATTGCCATTACCGAAGCTCTTGTTTCGTTCAGTGTAAATGTACCATGTGACCTGTAAATTCCTTGGGTGTGAGTAGTGATGCATTTTAAAAGATGCATTCTTCGTATTTGCTACCGTCCTCCTCAGTGTAGCTCCAACTTTGTAAACAAGTTACATGATGCTATCCATCTTGTAATAACGCATTTTCCTGACTCCCCAATTTTTCTTTTCGCCGATTTCAGTTTCCCTAATATCGTGTGGTTAGACCATTACCCTGTTCCAAGCTATATACTCATCTCAGTGCAGCAAGTTTGTAAAGATTTGTTCAAACTACAACCTTCTTCAATTAGTTAACCAGCCTACTAGAGTTACTGCCAGCAGTTCAAGTATACTGGACTTAGTTTTTTACCACTTGCCCCGACCTCGTCTCGCCGATTTCTTATTTGTCCGGCCTTAGTGACCATTCAGTATTGCACTTTTATTTCAAAGTTCAAAGAACTCAACGTGCTAAAAACTCACAGCTAATAAGGGATTATAGTAAGGCCAATTTTGCAGCTATTAACGACGAACTTTGTGTATTTATGGATTCCTTTTTGTTGACTTTCGACCAGCGCACGGTCCAATACAACTGGAATTTATTTAAAGAAAACGTACATAAACTTACAAATATGTACATTCCATGTCGTGTCATAAAATATGTCGTAAAGTCTCCATGGTATAAAGTACTCTAGACTTGCCAATAAAAAGAAGCGTTTGTTCCGTGCACCAAAAGGCTCAACAAGCGAAAGTCGTTGGACATCCTATAAACTAGCCGAGCAAACTTATAACAATGCCGTTAGAGATGCTAAGTATACCTTTTTCACTACAACGTTACCGTCAATGTTAATGAACAATACAAAACAGTTTTTGAATGTTGTAAATAAAAAAGAAGGTTATTTTGTATCGCTAACGGATGGGGATGGAGAGTTGGGGCCAAGAGATGATTCTGCGAATTTACTGAACGACACAGTTTCAAGGGTTTTTTCCGCCTTTGGAGACTGTTCCAACCCGGAATTTCAATCACCGAAGTTTTTCCCAATGTTTCCAATATCAATTGATCCTGCAGGTATAATTAAACGAATTGATTCCCTTAAGCTGTCCTCATCCACTGGTGTTGATGAAATTAATTATAAATTTTTAAAGAGCACTAAGGAATATTCAGCTATCATTTTGGCTAAAACTTTTCAGCAATCCTTAGAGGAATCGTGTCTGCCTGATGATTAGAAAGTGGGGAGGGTGGTTCCTCTACACAAGGACGGGAGTAAGCATTCACCCAACAACTTTCGTCCAGTATCTTTAACAAGCGTTCCTTGCAAAAGTTTCGAGCACGTCATCTACTCCCACCTCGCCAACTTTCTTGATACCTATGCATTTTTCAGTCTGTGCCAACATGGCTTTCTAAAGACATTTTCCTGTGAAACGCAACTTCTAGCTTTCACTCATAATCTGCATTCCATTCTTGACCGCGTGTCTCAGGTGGACTGCGCATTCCTCGATTTCTCGAAAGCTTTCGATAAGGTCGGTCACCAATTATTACTTTTTAAGCTGAGTAAACTTAATACAGAGTTAAGCGTTCTTCAGTGGATTCAACATTTTCTGTCTTCTCGCTCACAATTCGTAACTGCTAATGGCTCTAATTCCCATTTAACACCTGTTAACTCTGGTGTTCCACAAGGTTAAGTTTTAGAACCGTTGCTCTTTCTTATTTACATCAACGATCTCCCAGCCATCATTTCATCGTCTGTGTGTTTATTTGCAGATGATTGCGTTATTTACCGGGAAATTTCTACCCACAGTGACACAACCTTATTGCAGTCGGATCTAATCTCAATATCTAACTGGTGCCGCACATGGCTAATGGAACTAAACATCACCAAGTGCAAGTCAATGCGTGCGTCCCGTCGTAATGCCGGTTGTCTTACTTACTACCTTAATAGCGCTCCACTGGAGCCCGTGCACTGTTATAAATACCTTGGCATCCATATAACATCTGATCTTTCATGTAATATTCATATTGAACATGTTATTAACAATGCTAACCGCATGCTAGGCTTTTTAAGAAGGAATTTTAGTTCTGTTCCATCATCTCTCAAACTTCTTTATAAATCACTTGTTAGATCGAAGCTGGAATACGCAGCCTCCGTTTGGGACCCCGGCATGGAATACCTCGTTCAATCATTGGAGGTTGTCCAGAACAAATCCGCACGTTTCATACTTTCCAAATACCATCGTACTTCTGGTGTAACCTCCATGAAACTATCGTCATCATTACCCACTCTTGCTTTGCGTAGACAATATTCTCGTCTGTCCCTTTTTCACAAACTTTATCATAATCCGGCCATGCGTCACAATCTACTAACCCTTCCATAATATATTTCCCGTCGCTTAGATCATAAGAACAAAGTGAGCGTCTTTCCATGCAACACCTAATGCATTTTTTTATTCATTCATTCCGCGCGCTTCTGTAGATTGGAACCACCTTCCTCATGACATTGCTACCATAGATGACCTATGCATTTTTAAAGATGCTCTCTTTTTTATTTTTTTTTATATATGACTGTGCTACTTTGCCTGTTGTTATTTCTTTGTATTTCCCACTCCCCTCTGTAATGTCTTCGCACCTTGAGGGTACATAAATAAATAAACAATATGCCTTCACTGCTCTTAATTTGTACCCTAATACTGCGAAGTTTATACAAAATATCGAGGCGGTAGAGGCTTGGGGAAGAACGCGCGAACGACACTCCTGGGAGACATTGGAGCGGCTGCCAACATGCGGCTGTCCATCTGAGGCGCCAGGATCTTTCTTTTCAGGTATCCCTTCCATACACAAGTGTAGTTTTATGAAAAAACGGACTAATGAGTCCCATTTAGTCCTTCCAGTGCTTATATTATCAAAGACAACTTTCTGAGACAGTTCAGCAACTACGAGATCATGTTTGGGTGCCTCAGTGATGTATACATGTGAAATAGGTCGTACAACAATATTCGTGCTTTCAGTAAATATCCCTAAGAACATATCCCTGACGTTGATAACCTGCGAGACACCCATTAGTTTCTCTCTTCACGCAATGGCAGATGCAAAAAATAAAGGATAAAAAATCAGCTTTTCAACTCCTAAAATCGCAATTAGAACAAGCTGCCATTTTAACTGATGTTAAGTATATACCGTCTGTGTTCATCATAGGCATGCGCTGGGGATGTCACAGCATAGAGCGTAGGCCGAACTGCAGACATTGTTAGAGTTCGACTGTTCTCATCTTTGATTGAACGCCGGTCATTTCCCGAATGTTGGCAGAGACTAATTGCCACGAACTTGAGCACTCGACTCGAGCTCATGTCAGTCGAGTACGTCTTGGTGTCACGTGACTTGTGATGTGAAATCGTGATGTCATGTGACGTCACGGAGTCAAAAAAACTAATGAATCTAGTGACGTTCTCAATTTGAATCGCTGGGACGCAGCGACACACAATGGGGCCACGAGGCGTGATGTTACATGACACCATATCTTGACACAGTTGTGTCACGTGACCACGCGACACGTGACGACACATGATTAATCATAGTGCCAACATAGAAGCTTAAAAAAACCCACTATCCATCCTACATTGCTAACCTGTATATGACGATTTGATCAATGCATCGAAATACAGCTGCCAATTTTTTATTCTCAAATATTCAGCTAGTGATATTAGCAAAAAAATAAAATAAAATACCGTCAACCGTTTTGAACCAGTTACCGTTATATGTTTTTCCGTTTTGGTTCCGGTTCAGTTACAAGGCGGCGGCGAAGATACGGGTTCGGTTCAGTTCCAGTCAGCGGCGTAGACTTTCCATTTTCCCGGGGGGGGGGGGGGGGGGGGGGCGGCTGAGAATCTCTTTGGGGGAAGGGGAGGGGATGCTTTTTCGCGCAAGCGGAGAAGCACCCGACCCCCCTTCCTTTTCCGGAAGTACTCTGGGATTCCATTTCCCATGTATTTTGTCAATAAAGACATCGTGGGCATTATTTTGTTTACATGCCTCTACTAGAAATTCGTTACATGGCATGTAAACAGCGTCTCGGTAAGAATCACGGCCCGGGCCCGGGGGGGGGGGGGGGGGGGGCACGAGCTCCGATGCCCCCCCGTAGTCTACGCCTATGGTTCCAGTTCACCTAAAATAGCGTTTTGGTTCCGGTTTTAGGTTCAGTTCCGATCTGACACTCTACCTTGCGCCCACCCCCTTTCTGACGTCCCCTGGGCACTAAGAGTATTGTAATACATAAATAAATAAATAAACACCTGCTCCATACAGCCTGTTACCTTAAAGGAAGTTGATAGAAAGAGCCCACATCAAAAACAAATTATCGTTTTGAAAAAAAAAAAGAAAAAGCTTTACACCTTGTTGATTCGCAATTAGTACAACCAAACATTGCGGACTGTTGTAAACCAAGACTATATCTCCATCCCCGGCAGCGTGCAACACAGACTGTGTAAAACACTTCAGCGTTGCTAATGACTTTTCGAACAAAGATACGGCACAAATAGCAAATCTAAGTCCACTTACAAAGAGAACATGGAAAAGTATCTTTCCATTAATCTTTTCTTGTTTTTTGTTACCACCCGCGATGATCTGTTCACGCGCTTTCAATAAGTTCAATCATAGCTTTGTTGGTGAATACTTTTATTACGCCCTAAACTACTGAGGATAGAGCGGTTCGCAGTTCATCAAGACTCCCGTATTGACAGGGTACTATGCTCCAATGAGGGATGCTGATCGTTTTGGGAGGCAACGTCCATATTGACAGGTCTGAAAAGAATATATATTTTGGGTTAAAGTACGCATATTTAGAAATCTTAGTTTTCATATTTATGTTTTCACTTTTGGGCTTATATATTGGGACAAATGGGGGTGCTAAACTAGATGATAAACAAGAAATGATCATATTTGACAAAAAAATAAATTTCACCGAGGCTTCAATGAATATATTTGTACATTTCATTTCACCTCTTAGAGCGCAGCTCTTAGGCGCCCCTTTCCACGTACAGTGGCGTCGGCGTCGGCTTCGCCGTCGGCGTAACCGCGCGCGTTGCATTATGCGACGTCACAGGCCTATACACCAAATCAATTTCCCGCTAAATTTAATGAACAAACTGAACTGGTGCTTAGGTTTGTGATGTCCGATAATGAAATACTGCGCATTCAATTTTCCAGTTAAATTTAGCGGCAAAGCTGACGTCACATGAGCTGGACACATATTCAGATTCCCCGCTAAATTCAGCGGGGAATCGAATTGGTGTTGAGGTCATGTGACATCAGTTTTCCCGCTAAATTTAGCGGGGAAACCGACATTTTGTATAAAGTTGAATAATACTGATTCTTGGGCGAGTTTGAACTGACACTTTGAGAACATAAGAGTGCTTAACGACAGGGACGAAGAGTAGGAACGAGACAACACAATGCGCTAACTTCAACTGGTTTAATCGTCAGAAAATCAAGGGTATAAACACTCTGCATCATCGCGTCATTCAACCAATCTCATGCCACGCCAATGCTCGCAAGACTGTGTCTCTTTGTCGCCAAAATCGGCCGACGCCACGCTGACACATCGATCTCCGTAGCTTTTTTTCTTCTATCAGGCCTGCCTCTATAATTTCCCTTACCGTCTTATATCTATATTTTCTAATAACAGTGCAAAATTAAGGTTTGCACCCACAGTCATGGCAGTTCATTGACAAATGACCGTCACGCTGTCCGCTCACTTTTTGGTTGTGTTCGCGCAATCGATCATTCATACAGCTTCCCGTCTGTCCCATGTACTTTGTGCCGCACGTCAGCGGGATCTGATAAACAAGTCCTTCTGCGCATTCTACAAACGGGCTGCGATGCTTTTTCACGCAGCCAACCGGTGGTTTGCGGTAAGGGTCCGTCAGATTTCACAACTTGGCAAGTTTTTCCGGGGCAGAAAAAAACATCGGAGCATTTACGCGGTTTGCTATCTTTTTGAGATTGTGTGCGGTTTTGTGCCTGCAAGGCACAATCGCCACACTCTGTTTCTTTTGGGTCATATCCTGAAAGAGACGGAGTTCTTGCGGGCATTGGGCGTGGCATAGGATTGGTTGAATGGCGCGATGATGCAGAGTATTTATACCCTTGATTTTCTGACGATTAAACCAGTTGAAGTTAGCGCATTGTGTTGTCTCTTTCCTACTCTCGCCCCTGTCTCGAAGCGCTTTCAGGTTCTCAAAGTTTGTGTATAAGTCATGCGGCATCATTTTTCCCGCTAAATTTATCGTGAAAACTCATTTGGTGGAGGTCACGTGATCTCAATTTTCCCGCTATGTCTAGAGGGTAAGCAAACTCTTTGGCGCTCGTTCCCGTGTTTTGCGGCGTCGGTGCAACACCTCCTAGAAGAGAAGGCCGTAGCACTCCGAGTGATTACGTCACAATGTCGGAGAAGGAAGTCCATAGCGGAACTACGTGAGAAACATTTTCTGGCATCGACGTGAAAAAAACGTTTCTTGTCGAGCGGCGCGGGGTGCTCGTGAGCGTTTATCCGACATTAATTTATGTTTTAAGATGGCAGTATTCTATAATTTACTATATATATAATATAAACGTAATATAAAACGCGCTACCCAGGTTGAAAGTAAAAATTTTATATTTATTATTATCCTCGTAACCGCGGGACTATGTGAAATCCCGCAGATCCCTACACTCTTCGAATGAACCGGTCCGCTTCCACGTTTTCTTTCCTCGTAAATTTACGTTGTGTGTGAGCCGCTGACTGTCCAAAAAGGAACGCTGAGACTTTCAGACGGGAAGGGAACCGAAAAAAAATCCAGTCATCGCCGCAGGAAGCGCACGCGTGCTACAGATGGGTCGACGACGTTAAGCCTCCCACACTCCTGCCGCCGCTCTCGTGTGTATCTGTGTGTTGTTCTTTTGATCCTTCGCGTCGTTTCTTGGTCGTCACCGCAGTCTCGGGAAGTTTTTTTTTTTTTTTTTTTTTTTTTTGTGTGTGTGTTTGCTTGATACTACGGCATTTACGTGGATTCGCGGAACAAGTCCTGCTACGGTTTGAGTGACATGTGTGACAACTAGCCAACGATGACTCTGGTCGATTATCGATAGACCTCTCTTTCGACAAAGAGAGACTTAAAGTTCGTATTCAAATGTTTTCGTCGCGGATATTGTGGGACGTATGAATACGATAGACAGGTGAGAAACAACTTATTTACGGGCTTTCTTGGTCATGTGGGACGCGAGTAAAGTGCTGCAGTCGGCTTTTTCGTGATAAAATGACCTCTTGTTCGTCGTTATCTCTGTGCAGTTGCGTCAACTTTTGTAAATATGCGTGGTAATACTCTAGTTTTCACAGGAACGTGAACAACAAGTTTGTGTGATTATACAAAGTGCGTTGTTTGTTCTTATGTGTTTATTTATACTAATGTTATTTTATTGCCTTCACCCCTTTTATTCTAGACTCTTAACTGTATTAAGGTAATTCTATTATTGTAAACAAACTAAGATATTTTGTTCTAAGGTAGCCCGAGCCCATAGGGAGAAGTAAATTAGTTGACTGTAAATTGTAAGTTTAGTACCCCTGCCACACGGAAAAGTTAACATATTTTCATTAAATGATGTGGGACTTAATCAGCTCGCGGTCTTGAGTGATTATACGAGCGTCGCAAGCTGATTTGTCGACCTTATAATGTCATTCGATCGAAATTACATTACTTTTGCCATCTGGGCGGGGTATGATGCAAGAATTCAGTGACTGCACGCGACAACAGTCGCTTACATGATCGTAAGTGCCACTTGTCTAGCCGTGTCCGCGTTGACTACGTCTACCTGATTTTAACCTGTTATCTGTTTTGCTGTGCCCAATCACTGCGTGTCTCGCCATTTTGTCGAAGTATTTTGTGTGTAAAATATGCATTCCTACAGAAATAATTGCGTGACTCAATCTTTTCTCTTCTACGCATACCTCGTGTCATTTTGTATCGATTATTTAGCGGTGTAATGTTTTGCCCGTGTAAAATAATGTTTTCGAGACCCCTTGCTATGTGCAGCATTCATTTTAGCTAATAAGACACGCGTATGTGACTAAAAACGCGTTACGACGGTCGATCCACGCGCGTTGCCTTCGCTTAGACGCGCGCCCCCGATGGCCTTCCTTCGCGACGTCACGAGAAGAGCGCAACGGCCTTCTCTTCTAGGAGGTGTTGGTGTCGCCGTCGCCGTCAGCGTAACTGGAGGAGGAGGGGCGGGTTTGGAGGAGGAGAAGGAGGAAGAGTATGGAAGAGGAGGGGAGGGTATGGAGAGGAACAGGGGAGGGTACGGAGGAGGAGACGAGGGGAGGCAAGGGGAGGACGTCAGGGTACGGAGAAAGAGGAGGGGATGGCATGAAGGAGGAGGAAGAAGAGAAGCAGGGAAGGATACAGAGGAAGAGTAGGGGAGGGCATAGAGAAGGAGGGGGTATGGAGTGCCTCCCCTTCTTCTTCTCGCTACCCACCGCTCCTCCTCCTCAAAAGCTGCGCTCTAATTTCGGATTGCTGAAACTTGTAAACGTCTTTCATTTTTTATTCCGCATATTCAAACTTGAACTATACATAAATAAAGCAAGAAATATAAAAGAGAACGGTAACAAGATGTATGCATATACTTTAATTAAACTCCGTATACCATATTTACTCGAGTAATAGCTGCACTGTTCATGAAGAAAACCTGCAAGTACGCTTTTCCGCGGAGCACGCGAATTGCCGATCACCGCAATCGGTAGGATGATTCCAGCGGTTAACAGGACAGAGATAACGTATTCGCGCGAAGATAGAATCTGGGGATTGCATTTGCATGCAGAATCGCGTTCTCGATCTAGTTATTCGCTAAGTAATTTATGCGCAAAGCGATGATTGGTTGCATATGTGTTTCGCGGGAAAGCAGACGCAAGGGCCTTGTTCATAAATAGTGCGGCTATTACTCGAGTAAATACAGTAGCTAAGGTATACTTATGCTATACTATAAGTCATTGCTAAGGTAAGCTGGTTAATTACATTTTGAATACACCTAGAGAAAGCGCAAATGTTAGAGGAATATTGAAGTTGTTCTAATGAAACCACCGGGAGATTTAGACTTTCTGACAAACTGTATTCGCTCATCAAAAAATAAAGTAAAAAAGAACTAATTTACACCAGGAATACATGGACAGTATTTATGCAGTGAAAAATAAAGATATTTGTTGGTTAATATTTTTCCCTAAAAATAGTTATGCAATTGTATATCTGAACTTTCTGGTAAAACAGAAATCATTAAGCGAGTTGAATAGTTGTCAACTAATAAAATAGTGACAAGAAAAGTTTGGGGTAATTTATCAAAGGACTTTAAGGAATTGTCGATTGCCTGGTAATTCTATATATTTTTGGCTGAAGAAAATTCAAACTAAGATTAGTTGCAGAGGAAAACATGGGTAATACCTTATTTTGGCCGCATGGAAGGGTATTTGGAGCCTTAGTTACATCATAAGTTTCAGTACCATTTTTTAATCTTCTTATGCAGCACACTTTGCAGTCGTCTGTGTGTTTACCTATCTAGAATAAGTGAGTTATAATATTAATTAAAAAATTAGTTAAATTACTCTTAGAATCAGTATCAGTATGATTTAAAAAATCTCAGGTGCAAGATATAGAGACTAAAAAAAGACGGAATGAATTCAACACCTCTTAAAAAATATTTAATACTTACATCTCCAATCCATTGCCCCTCGTTCCCTCTGTTGGCATAGATTCGTCGACAGTAATCTCCTAGCGCACTTCTTAAGGTATCATGGCAGAGTGCATTGTTAAATAAACTGTTGCCTACTAATATGCATCCCTCAGGCACTTCTGGTTTTTCTGGAAAAAAAAAGAATGTATATTTTTTTTGTTGATAATTTCAAAAATTGTTGCTCTAATATAATTCTCATGAAAGCAGACTTAGGAAAGAGAACAACAACTTGAAGCTCGTCTTGTTCACCCTTGCCAAGCACTTTACGTAGAATGCGTTTGAGGGTTGTAACGTCGGTGCGATCGAGCTTATACCGGGAGTTACAGACTCATTTTTAGTACCGGTTTCATGATATAACCTCCCCCCTACTACGTATGCTACATTAATGCTGTTTGATATTGTGTTTTGTATTAAATTACAAAAATACCATGCTGACGCATCTCTAAGGTGTTTATTTTCCGACTTCACAGTACAGGCTCGAGGAAATGCTATTTAGTTTCTTGACTTAAACTTTTGGTATGCTGTTATTTAAGGTTTACAAGCATGTCCACGTTGATGGAGCAGATATCACCAATGTCTTAATAGATAAAAAGAAGTTTTCCAGTGTCTGGAAGTTTCGAGCTAAATGAGGAAATAAATGTATGATATGCTTATGTTCTAGCAGAGCAGCTCAATTCCCGCTCCTCAACGTAAATGTGAGCACTACCGTAAACCACGGTCTCTTGAAAGATAGCGTTCGTTCGAAAGTTTAAGCGTTGAACAAATGGAGATGGATTATATTGCATTACTTTTAGTTTAACGTAAAATTCATCCTCAAACAAAGCTACAGGCCTCTCTTTGTGTCCGCCTTTGGCTAAGAGGCCCGAGCTACATACCTATTTAAACACTACTCTAAAGAAAAAAAATTACTGGAGAGCATTTAAGAGCGCTTACGTCTAGGAGAGCGAAAAAATATGTATGCGTAGCATATTCCAACAAGTTCCTTAAATGCCGGTGGATCAGCGTCTGCGGAGGCCGGCCGGCCAGGCTCTGGAGAGCGGCGCACTCGCCGCTCTCCAGGGCGGTCTTGAGATGCGCTGGCCCCAGCCAATGCGGCGCGGCCAATCCGTTGCAGACAATCCGGTGCGTCGCAACTGCCGTTTTTCCCGGTTACGGAAAACGCTGGCTTTACTCCATGTGGGACAATTAATGCTTTCATATTAAGAAAAAAATCTTTGGCGGAACATTTAACCAGAAACAGGATGATACCACAGAGAAACATTTTGAAAAAATACACCCTAAACACGTTTCATTTCAAGCAGTGGCACGAGCATGTACAGGGAAGTGTAGTGCAAACGAATGTTCGTTATGCAAGATTACTTCCTAAAGAGAAAAAAAAAGAACTTGCGTGCATATTTTAATAGGGGCTTGTATTATGAACGTTTCTGATGCTTACCAATTGTAGGGCGGGGCGCGGCAGGTAAGCAAAAGATTGCCCCATCGACGAACGAGCAACCGCGTCAAATTCGAATGGAACGTGTAAGCGATGTGGTGAAAGCGATGTCCGCGTACGTGAAATTAAAATAACTTAGAGTAAAATTTAAGTTGTCGAGGGCTAAATCAGGCGACTTGCAAATTTAATTTTTAAAAAAAATCATGAAACAAACGAATACCAACGTCTTACATGACAACAGTCATAAGGCTATTTTTATGCGGTCTATATCTCCGAGGCAATAGATGTATAACAATTGCAAAAAAATAGACCAGTACGGGTGAATTACATCGATATCTTACCTTCGCGAGCACTCGTGGAACTTAAGAAAACCCTATAGTCACATGGATGTATTCCTAGATTTCTGACAATCAAAGCCCACAGCGTTAACGAAATGTGAAATATTCCCGTCGTGTTCAAAAATAGGTTGAATATGATCCACATTATCCGTAAATGACAATCGCACGTTTGTATTCTGAGCCTGGTCGCTGTATTTTTCCTTATAAGCGGCCCACTCTGGCAAGCGCTTAGAGAAGGCCCAGCGGAGACCACGTGACATCCAACGCAATCGTGACGTAGTTTGTCTCGGGACGAGCAGAGCTATGGCGAGGCTGACATCGAGAGGGTGGCCTAGTTGTACTAGTTGTTCCAGCAACCGAAGCGGCTGCTTTTGTACGAATTTTGAGTGACGGGTTAATCTTCTGTAATCTTGTAGGGGTACAATAGCGAGTTCTGCGACACACAAAAGGCATTCTCGGGAAGAGGGGAGTTCCTCCTGCCCCTCTTCTCTCGTCGTGGCCGGAGGCGAGACAACCTCCGTCACTATCTGTCAAGGTTCCTAGACGGGCATTACAAGCGAGGCGTTAGCGACATCCACTAGGTGCTCTTTGCTAATCGTTTAGTTCGTTTTAAAATTCCTTTTCGTGACTTTTTTGACAAGAAATTGGTGTGTTAGATGTCATACTGCTCCTTTGGACACATATAGACCATAAAATAAGCGCCAAAATTTCGTTGTAGTATACCTTTAAAGGTATTAGTGCAGTGAGCTGCAGGCCGCCGTATAGGCGTACGTGCATGGAGACATGGGTGTGAGACTGACAGTTGCCTGAAAAATATCCAAAATAGAGTTTGGAGCCATGATATTTACCTACGGCAAGTCATGGCAATGGCAGCATCTCACGCATCTATGCATGAGCGCCTCAGAAAAAAAGGGGCACGGACGATACAGAATTCTGAATACAGCAGACTTTTGTGTCACCCCTCCCTCTTTTTTCTCCTGCTTCTGAATTAATATGTCTCAACCATAACCCACCGCCGCCGCCGCCAGGAAAGGATCTTAGGGACGCTATTTGTGAAGAAAGCGCGCCATCCCACACGCACGCTGCTTTTTGTCTCCTTTATTGGTGCTTCGTCAGCCGCCGCAACGCACCCGCCTAATAGCTGCATCTGTTGAGGACGCACGAGTCGTGGCCTCCGAGATTTTTCGCGCGCTGGCTTCGCACTTCAGGCCATTGCATTCGCCGGCAGGGGCTGTTACTTTGGGGTGCTCGGTGGCGCTCATAACCACAACCAATCAGCGCAAAGAAATGCCCTCGAATGATCATTATCACCATTATCGTAGGTCTACGGAACTTCGGCGCAGCGCGAATTGTGCTCACCGCGTCTCACCGCAAAACACAGGCCTTTGGCAAGAAAGAACTTGGTCGGAATTTGAAGGTCCCATTTTTCAAAGCGAAAGGTGTATCGAACAAATGTCCGTGCACGTAAGCGAAGTTCAGAAAGCTGTCCTCATGCATGACGACAGAATTATGAGAAGGATGGAATTCATCGTGTCATAGCCATGTAACGCTGCCATAAAACGAAGGGCCGTTGTCGTGTGTCTTCCTAATAAAATTCGTCAGCTGATAGTCAGAAGTTCGTCCGGTGTGTTTCTTCTTCGTCTAGGCCCTCGTGTTTTCGCGCTGTTTCCAGAATGAATCGATTCGCACTAAAACTTGCACTCTAAGTTATCATCCAGCGAAATAGCACAAAGACCGGACCAGCGAATAAATATTACAAATCAACAGAGATCGACTTACCTTTCCCTATTCTGACGATGAGAACAATTAAAATGCAAGCTTCATGCCGCGGGCTCACACTTGACAGCGCGCTTTGAAACGATTCTGTTTCCGCTTCTGGTTTAGTTATACGCGCTGCACCGGGAGATCTAGAGATCTGATTCCACTTGCTTTTTTCTATGCGCAGCCGAACGTTTGGACAGGCCGGAGCACAAAGCAGGAAAAAATCTGGGAGGCCATGTCCGAGCACAACACTTATACGGCCTACCCTAGAATTTGCCTGCACGGTGTGGGATCCGTACTGGCAAAATCGGATCCAAAATTGAAAACCAATACTGCTCGCTTTATCCTTTCGAGATACCGGCTAATGGACTCCGTTAATAGCATGGTAGAAGTTAGAGCAGCTCGGTCTTCAACCTCTGCCCACCCGCCGAGAGATATCAAGGCGAAAGCTTCTCTATACGTTTTCACAAGACTTACTAAATGTGGACACATCCCATTTTTTACAACCACGTATTACCATACCAGTAAGGCGGGTAAACAAAAGCGCTATGCAAGTTCCGCGAATTAATATTGACATATGTAAGTGTTCTTTTTTTTTTTTGACGGTTGAAAGTTGGAACAAGCTTCCCTATAGGTAAATTGTGATTCATTAGACCTATTCGAGAAATGTTTACTTAAACGAGCAGTGCAACTGAAAATAAATTATGAATGTGGCGAACTTGTGCCTACACACTTCGAAAAAATAGTATATTTTCTGACCGCGACAAGAAAGAGACATCCTGGAGCAGCATATTACTGCAGCTTTTGTGCGCGCATACCGCGTTCAGGAATAGTTTGATCCGAAATAGAATGTGACAGCCGTGGATCATCTGGAACTTTTCAAAACGTTAAATATTGAAAAAAAAAAAGAAAAAAACGGTCAAAGCTTGGTTTGAAACTCGTTTCTTTGGGTGGCAGCCGCGTGAGTTGGCGACATCGCCACGCACCCGGAAATATTTAGGTTATGGTTAAAATACATATGGCAAATCACTAGGCAATTGTGTTCCATACGTGAAACGTTTTTAGCGACAGAAACGGTTAGCGATACTCTGAGCTTTCAGACACCAGACGCCTGTACGTTCTTGGCCTCTTCATGAGATATCTTAACGCGTCCCATGTGCACACTTGATACTTGTTCCTAGAATGAAGTGAGACTACCGCGAATCCGGCTGATAAACCTGGCGATCTTCCACAGCCTTCGTTGCTCTCCAGCTCCTCTCCCTCAGTGCGCACAGGTAGTTGAGCTCCTCCTCGCCTACCCCTCTTGTCACATGACCTCCCTTTGAACCAATGAACGCCGAGTTCATCTCTCCTCCTCTCCCATCTGTGAACCAATTAGTGTCGAATTTCGCGACCACGCTTTTATCTGGAATTCACAAAATTTCGAACACCAAGCAAAAGAAAGTTTCACGTTAAATGTAATAACAGGAGCTCATTCACGCTTTTTAACGCCAAAAGAAGAACTAAACCAGGTGGTAAGTTCTTGAAACATAGTTTTTGTTGGACGCATAAAAACTTCATGCAGAAGCGCTCAAATAATGCGGCCTTTTTTTAAAAGGCTGCGTTAACGTTGAAGTCAGTATCCTTAACATTATCAATGATTACAAACTATAGAGCTAGGAAGCTGAAATTAATCTTATGGAAGTTAGGGATGAACAGCCCCAAAACTAATGACTCGGTACATGAATAGGGTACGACATGAAAGCGGTCAGAGTACCCTTTGTAACATGAATCCATTCACTCATACTATATTCTGCCGGTTAAAGGCTACCGCAATAATGATTTTCATGTCATTAGCTTTAAGTCGCCACTCAGGTGAATGGACAACGTGACAGGCGCATGAATCTGTTTTGAGCGTGCGGCATAATAATTCAAATATAAATAGTCCAATTACGATATTTACCCTCCGCAAAGCATACCAGTGGCACTGCGGCAAACAGAAGAAAGATTCCAGTCATGATCATGGTGCCTGTAGACGAAATACACTGAGCACACAACTCGTCAAGCTCTTTTTATAGGCAACAAAGCTTTTCTAAAAAAAAAGAGAAAAGTACCCCTCGTTGGACATAAGAACAAACCCCTTTGAATAACTGCAGATGCAACAGGTGCTTGCGAAAGACTTGCCATGCCTATGTAATAAAAATAAAATATAATAAAATAATGTCTATTGGCTAATGAAGTGAGAACGACGCCAGATTGATTTCATTTTGATGTGCAGCTAAAACAAATGTGCTAGAGGTCCTTACAGTAGCTCCTGCGCAAAATCAGCATGTGGAAATAGCCCAGTCAGTGTGAAGGGGGTTTGGTTTGCTGTGGAAAATTACTAAATTGATACATAATGTTGGAACGGCCTGACGCAAATAAATTAACTGCGCTGACGTCCGACGCTAAAGGACAGTAGTTTCGCACATTGTTGGTTCGCAAATTGAAAACTGAACTTCTCGCTACAGCCTAAAGAATTTCAACGTTAGAAATGTAGCTAAATGAATGCAACTTCCACGTACGTGTTACTAACGAATCAACATTAAACCTGTTTTACGCTGCAAAACCTGATATCTGGTAACTGCCGGTCGAGTGAACCGCTGGAACTTTTCTAAGAAAGGATCAGTTTCACATTTTTCGGAAAGGAGAAGCAAAATCGGCGCGGCTGCTGTCTTATTGCTGCATGAGGCCATCTCGTGAAAGCAGGATTCTTGAAACGTTTTTTTTGTGCCCGGAAAGCTAATTTGGCGAAACTATGAATTTATTTATTGAAGCAAGTTGGTTACATGCGAACAATATTAAATGTATTACCCAGCTGGCTCAAGACATATTTACACAGGGTGTTTCTTTCTAGCAGGTCCAAATGTCATTAAAAGAAAGCCGTGATATCCACACAAATGTAGTATGTGCAGGTGAGTTACGACTAGGGGGCCACAATATGGGGAGCTAATCATGATAATCTACTTTAGAATTAAATGAAATTTGTTAATTATTTAGTAATTTGAGAAATTATACTTATAATTTAAGTTACACGTGTTTTGAGCTGCACCAAACACTACAAAATAAGTAAACAAAACCAAATTGTGGTGCGTGCGAAGAGCCGTTGTGCCCTGAAGTTGCCAGTGGCACAACGGGCGCAATGATGGCATCATATCTATAGTAGTACAGTATCGGCGACAAAAATTGTCGAATATAATGAATTCCTAACACTAACAAATATAGTGCTGTGCACTTTCAAATAATATTATGGTTTGAAAACTATAAGTAGGGGGTTCACGATTTTCACAGTAGTCTGTATAGACCAGGGGCGGCCAAGCTGCGGCTCGCGAGCCGCATGCGGCTCTTCGCGTGTTAATGTGCGGCGCGCGGCTCCCTCCCGTAGCCCCCCCCCCCCCCCCCCCCCCCGCACTTCCCCCAAAAAGATATGGAAAGTGTTTTAAATTGAAAGACGGGTTGAAATTTGATAGTCTTGTGCTGCTGCTACCTTACGTAGAGTTGGACTGATTTGGACTCGGATAGATTGAGAGCTTAGTTCGAGTGTAGTTTATTGCTCTGGACAAAGGTTTGCACCCCCCCCCCCCCCCCCCCCCGCGGCTCTTGGAAGTTTCGTGCAACATGGTGTAAAGTTGGGCAAGTTGGTTGATGGTCATATTGAATGGGTTAAAACAGCGCAAAAAAGACGAAGGACCAGTAAAAGGAAACACACAGACACGGCGCTGACTTACAACTGAAATTTTTACTTCTGCGCCATTCAGCAAGTAAACTTGAAACGAGACAAGCATACAAGCAATCAACCCGATAACACGTCATCCTCCAATCAAGCCGTCACGTGGCTACACGTATTTACCCGTTCAGCTGTAAGTCAGCGCTATGGCTGTGTGTTTCCTTTTACTGGTTCTTCGTCTTTTTTGCGCTCTTTTAACCCAATAAATATGAAGTTTCGTGGTTTTCTTTAAGCAAAAAGGATTGATTGCCTCAAACTTACGCAATAAATTGACAAACAAAATCATTGTGGAAAGAATGAAGACACTACACAACGCAATGAATTATAAATTATTAAACGAAAAACGCCAAAAATATCAAGAAATGTTAAAAAAACAAAATTTAAATTACTCGGTTTGCACTTCTAAACATTTGAGACGATCATTGTGTCTTTTCGTAATAATTTTTTTTGTGTAAAATAAAAGTAAATCGCAAGCACATTTAAAACAATATAGCCTGCGTTTAATCCAAGGTCAATCGAGTCGTCGGAGTAGCCGCCGGATATCTCCCGTATATCCATAGAGTACATTGAGCGTCGGCTGAGTATCCACCGGCTGAGTATGTCAATCGAGCTGGCGTGTCGTCTGAGCGCCTGCTGGATATCGCGCGTATATCTATAGAGTACTTAGAGCGTCGGCTGAGTATCCGCCGGGGGTCGAGAATTTCAATTTAGTACTGCCAGTGTCGTCCGAGTACCCACCAGATATCGCACGCATATCTACAGAGTATTTGGAGGCTCAGCACTATGGTCCATTGCAACTCAATATGGTTGGGCGAGGGTAAGACGGGCCGGAAAGGAGGAAGCAGACGGAACGCTGGAGAAGAGAGGGGGGAAACCTCCTTCTCTCTTTAGCGTTTCGTCTGCTTCCTCCTCCCCGGCCCGTCTTAAGGCCCGCTCACACTCTTGCGACTGCTTGCGACCTCTTAAACCTGGGTTCCTTAAAACTTGTTAAACCAGAAAACACACTGGCGCCATCTATTGGGAAGCAGTGTAAACTCGGCGGTCCGGCATATTTTTTTTTTTTATTTCTCGCGCAATATCCTTTCTTTTTTGGCTCGAAAAACTTTTGTCAATGTTATAAACGAGCCTTTCTATGGGTATTACGCACATTTGACCTCGGAAATCCCGCAAAACCTTCGCTTCTGTGAAATGCAGTTCTAGGGTCACCGCATAGATGGCGCCACAATGTCAGTGTGTTCCCTCATTCTAGAAACATTTAAGAAGTTGTAAGAGATCTCGTCTCTCTCAGTCGTACTCGGTCGCAAGAGTGTGAACGGGCCTTTACTTTCGCCCTACGTTCTCGAGTTGCAACAGACTATAGATACCGCCCAATTTATGTGCTACAAAAATATTTTTATTTGCTCACGCCACCATCACGCTTCGGACTTTTTTGACACCTTAATTATATACACATGTAGATACATTACGCATACCACAAGTATCAGCTGAACATATGCATTCAGCGCATACACATGCACGGCACATACAAACATCAGCCCAACAGCCCGCTAGCCAACACCTCCTAGTAATAAGACCGTCGCGCTCTTCTCGTGACGTTACAACGGAAGGCCATCGGGGGCGCGCGTCGAAGCGAAGGCAACGCGCGTGGATCGACCGTCGTAACGCGCTTTCAGTCACATACGCGTGTCTTATTAGCTAAAATGAATGCTGCACATAGCAACGGGTCAAGAAAACATTTTATTACACGGGCAAAACATTACACCGCTAAATAATCGGTACGAAATGGCACGAAGTATACGTATAAGACGTCTATAAAAAAATGTGATTGCTTTGAGTCGAAAATATTGAGTCGTAATTATTGCTGTAGGAATGCATGTTTTATACAGAAATACTTCGGAAAAATGGCAAAACACGCAGTAATTGGACACAGCAAAACAGATCACAGTTACGAACCAGGTAGACGTAGTCAACGCGGACACGGCTAGACAAGTGCCACTTACGATCATGTAAGTGACTGTTGTCGCGTGCAGTCACGGAATTCTTGCATCATACCCCGGCCAGATGGCAAAATTAATGCAATTTTGATCGAATCACATTATGGGGGTCGACAAATCAGCTTGCGGCGCTCGTATAATTAGTCAAGACCACGAGCTGATTAAGTCCCATATCATTTAATGAAAATATATTAAGTGTTTCGTGTGGCAGGGTACTAAACTAGCTATTTAGTGAACTAATTTACTTCTCCCTATGAGCTTGAGCTGCCTTAGAACAAACTATAACTTATTTTGTATACAATAATACTGTAACCTTAATACAGTTAAGATTCTAGTATAAACGCAGTAAAGGCAGTAAAGTAACATTAGTATAAATATACACATAAGCACCAACAACGCACTTTCAATAATCACAAACTTGTTTTTCATCTTCCAATAAAAAGTGGCCGCATCTCCACGTCGGGAATGATGTTGATTGGGGCGAAGCTCTGGTGGCGCTGATGACACTGATTTTATTGTTCATAGGTAGTGCTTATTTTTTGTTTTATTGCTGATAGGTAGTGCTGAGTTCCGGCTTGCATTTCAACTTCATTATTCCTGCTTTATGGTCGGTGAAAAGGCAGAGCCAGTGTTTCTTCTAGCGGATCAGCTTGGATCTGCTAGAAGCCGTGGGAACGCATCTCCACCGCTTAAGTCATCGGTCCATGTCAGAGAGAGAATGTGTGGTATGGAACGTGGTTATATACGCATTTGAGCATTTGACCGCAGCGCCCTCTCGTCTATAAACGTTGAGCCAATGCATGCACAGTTTAACGCGATTATATACGCATTTGACCGCAGCGCCCTCTCATATATAGACGTTGAGCGGCTACATGCAACGTTGGAGTGAAGCGTCACTGAAGGATCCTAGGCTGCTTTCCTCCTCCTCCAGCAGTGCCTTGAGGGTGTTCGTGAGGTGAATCCGAACTTGACGTTCCTCTGCGCCCCTGTGGCGGCCGAGCGCGCAGGCGGCATCCCGGAGCTTGATCTTGAACTCCCCCCACGAGACCGCGTCCGCGCCGCCTTCCTCCAGGTTCTGGAGGGCACGCCGCGTCTCCTTGATGAACTCCTCGCTATCCAGTAGGCCGGCGTTCATTTTCCACGGTGCGTCGCGTCGTGCTTGGTCCGCCCTCGGTCCGCCGAATTTCATCACAGTGGAGACGAAGCCATGATCGAAAGAGGCCACAATACTGGCGTCGTACGTCGCAACCCCTCCGTAGAGCTCTCCGGAGACGTAGACACAATCTAGCCTCGCCTGCGAGGTTCCCGTCCACCGCGTGAACCGCGGAGAAAAGGTGTCGAGCATCTCCGTCACATCCACGACGTCGAAGTCGCGCACAGCGTCGCGCAGCGCAGCCGCCCCCATGTCCGCTCTAGGGACCGCCGATCCTCGCAGCCCGTCACGGCCGTCGAGGACGCAGTTAAAGTCCCCGCCAACCACGAGCGCCGCCGGTGTGTCCAGGAGAGGACGCAGCCTTAGGAAGAAATCCTTGCGCTCAGCCGTGTTGTTCGGTGGGTAGACGGAGACGAGCCGCGTTAGCCGATTCCCGATGATGCAGTCAACGAGCGCGAAGCGTCCGCCGGCACGATTCGCTGTTAGCGTGTGGGCGCACCAGAAAATGTGGCCAAAAAACTCCAGGCACGTGTTCGCCTTTTCTAGAGAGCATATTTTTGTCTCTTGGAGAAAGATAATGTCAGCTCGCTCCTCACGCAACAGGTCCATTAAAAACGCTTTCCTCCTCCTCGCTGTGGTGCTTATGTAGTTAAAAGTAGCCATTTTGATGCGCGACATTTTAGAAAGAACGAACAGAGCACAAGAAAAGAAAGAGCAAAAAAAACCGCGGTAAACGGCAAATAAAGAAGAGAAGAAAAACCAGGGAGTGGGTGAAAATTCACCAATATCAAACAAAACCCAAAAACAAGAGACGCAAAGTTCCAAGAGAAAGCACCCTCACCCGTTACGAGGACAAGGGAAGAACTTAGAACGGGCTTGGTCACTAGCTCTCCAGCGACGAACGACCCGCTTCCACAGGACGCATGACTGGCAAAGTGGGAGCAAGTTCCCTGTTCTTCCTATTCCGGACGCTCTGTCGCGTGGCTTTGGTATCCTTGAGAGAAACACCTGCATCGGGCTCCGGCGGGGAACCCTTCACCGCAGCGGCCGTCGGCGCTGGCAGTTGGGTCGGAAGCGCCGGCTCCGCCGTTGGCGTGGGCTCGGGCTCGGGTTCGGAAGACGCCGCGTTGGCCTCCCCCGGCAGTAGGGTGGTCTGTTCTTTGACCTCGGGGAGGCGGCCGATCTTGGTTTCCTCTCTAGCTCCGCTGTTAGGTGCCTTTGCATCCACTGTGTCCAGCACCTGCTGGCAATGCTGGAGGAGCTCTACAAGGGAGCCCAAGTGAGGAGCAGAGTCGAGGCACTCGAGGGAGAGACGAAGCCCTTAAAGATCTTCGGCACACACGGGCGGCAAAGGGCGACAGAGAACACTATCAAAAAGCTGCGGCAAGGAGCTCGTGTTTTCACCTCAACGAAAGACATCGCGGGCGTCTTCGAGACGTCCTTTGGGGAGCTCTTCCGGGAGGAGAGGCTTGACGATATCGCCTTCGAGCCTTTTCTCCGGGGATCTCCATCGGTTACTGAGGGCGCAATTGACAATTTGAACTGCCCATTCCGGGAGGCCGAGATCCTACATGCAATCAAGCACCTGTCCCGTAACAAGGCTCCCGGTCCGGACGGCATCGGGTCAGAGTTTTACAAAACCTTTTCTGACGCTCTGTGCCCCATCTTGGCTCGAGTCTTCAATAACATCCGGAGACGAAAACTACTTCCTCCGACCATGCGGCAAAGCGTCATGGCACTGATCCCGAAAAAAACTAAAAAGGGCCCTATTTCCGAAGTCGGGGACTTTCGGCACATCAGTCTTCTTTGCTCTGATTATAAAATCCTGGCCAAGATCCTCGCAAGGTGACTTGACACAGGGCTCAAGTCCATCATAGGGCCCCATCAGACCTACGGCCTTCGCGAGAGGAGAATATCCAGGAACCTCCACATCATGCGAGCGATCGGCGAGGCGACGGCGGAGGGTCACCAGCCCCTGGCGGTCCTGCAGCTGGACCTGCGGCAGGCCTTCGACCGGGTGTCCCGCAGGTTCCTCCTGGCGGCGCTGGATCGATTCGGCGTGGGGGAGGAGCTGCGGGTGTGGATCGCGCTCTGCTACCGAGACATCTCCGCGCGCCTTCTCATCAACGGTCAGAGGGGAAGTCCCATCTACATCGGGAGGTCGGTTCGGCTGGGCTGCTACTCTCGCCCATCCTCTTCGCGCTGAAGTTGGAGCCACTCTGCCAGGCAGTCAATGCGGACCCATCCATCTCAGGTTTACAACTTGGGGACGAAGACGTCCGCGTGCTGGCCTTCGCAGACGACGTCTCGTTTATCTGCTCGTCCAAGGTGCAGGTGCAGACCATCCTGCGACACGTGGACCGGCTCTGCGCTGCCTCAGGGGCCATGCTCAACCGACAGAAGTCGGCGGGGGCGTGGCTCGGTGCATCGGCGACTATGCCAAGAACTTTCGGAGGTATAGGATGAAGCACTTCGCTCGACGGCTACCTGGGTGTGTCGGTGGACCCGCAGCGTTCAACGGCCGCAGTGTGGAGACCGACCGCCAACTCCGTTCCCGCCAAGCTGTGGCCCGGGCGGTGTAGAAACTTGTCTTTCTTCAGCCGGGCTCACGTGTGCAACACAGTCAGCTACCCCGCCGTGCTGTACAAGGCTCAGGCCGACTGCTGCCCGGGCAGCCAGGCCGAAAGGTACACCGGAGCTGGGCCACGTTCCTGTGGAAGACCGCCATGGAAAGCACACGAAGGAACAACCTCTTTCTGCACCAATAGAGCGGCGGTCTGGGCCTCGTTAACATCATGCTCAAGCTGCACGTGCAGCGTTTTCTGCTCTTCCGGGATGCAAGGGACCCGACTTTCATCGCCGTGCTGCACCACCTTGGATTCCCACATCTCGGGAATGGGATGGTGAGCACGATTGGCCGCACAACCAAGGGAGCCGCCCTGCGGTTCTACAATGAAATCGCCAGCTTCATCGAGTTTCTGCAGGCCCAATTTTCCTGGGAGTACCTGGCGACCGTCGGAAAGAGGCGGCTGTATTAGGATGCCGTTTCAGCATCCTTCCCGCCACCGCTCTACAGACAACCACCGACGCCCGACGACGCGGCGCGACGTTACAAACTCGTGCGAATCCTTCCCGTCCCTGTGGCGACAAGGGACTTCTTCGTCCGGATGCACATGGAGGTCCTTCCAGTTAAAACCTGGCTCCATCACAAGGGGTTCTTCGTTGTGATGGAGCCCTAAACTGCGACCTTTGCGGGGCGCCCGAGACCATCCAGCACGTCCTAGTCTAGTGTAGCAACGCCTACCTCTTCTGGGGCGAGATGAGGACGACGTTTGAGCTCAGGGACTCCTTCGAGGTGGAGTGGAGTGCTTTCAAGTATCTGCAACTCGAGGAGAGGGATCAGACGGAGGTGGCGCACGTGATGATGCTGCTGGGCCTGCACGCCATCTGGCAGTCGCGTACCGCAATGGTGCAATGCCACCTCGACGCGCGTCCAACCTGGAGCTACTTCGTGTCCATATTGGGGTGGGTGCTCTCGGTAACGACGCGGCAGGCGAACGCGGGCAATTGGGAGTGCATCGAGTGACAACTCGAGGAAGGGCGTCGCCGCTGCGTGCAACGACGTACGTCAAAAGTGGGAAACTAGCGAGTTCCTGTGAACTGTAGGCGCGTTGACGTTGACTGAGGTGCGCGGTGCGCGAAAGTGGACCGTGGCTCTTCCCACTTGGAATTGCGCGTCTATATTGTTCGATTTATTTATATATATTTTTCGTACAGATTGTATAACCTCTGACGCGGTCTCATAGTGTTTCGTTTGCGTTTCCTGTCAATCGTTTCCGCCCATGCTGGTCTAAGCACTTCAGGTTTGTGTGACAGCTATTTACCGCAAGCCGATACTGTATTATTATTTTTTTTTTATTTCAGAGTATCTGTCTTCTCATTCGTCTCTACAGTTTGTATAACGTTTCTATACGAGCTATCCACCGGTCGTTCTCTTACATATTTTTCAATTTGGCCTTGTATAATGTTTGCAGAACCTAGTGCAAGGATGTCTGGAAATAACACGTAAATAAACATTTCGGAAAAAGCCCGAGACTGGGACAAGAAGGAACGGACTTAGTGTTTGTCCGTCCCTTATTGTCCCAGTCTCGGGTTTTTTTCGAAATGTTTAACCGCCACCAGCTCGTTTGTGCCCTAACCTTTTGTTCATGTAAATAAACTTGTTTCGTGTGCAAAAAAAACCAAAAAAGTTGGAGTGTAGCGTAGTCGTTAAGACGTCTGCCTCATAAGCAAGCGGTGCTGAATTCAAACCCCCGTGCAAGCGTACGTTTTTTTTTTTATTATTTTTTTTTTTTTTAAGCGGGCCGATCTCGGAGGCAGTGCAATCGATGTGAGCACGGACGCCGGAAAATACTAGACCCTAAGGAGCTTCGCCTCTAAAACTAGAATATTACCACGCATATTTACAAATGTCCACGCAACAGCACGAGGATAACCACGAAGAACAAGACTCAATTCTATCACGAGATTAAAAAAAAAAAAAAATCGACTGCAGCACTTTGTTTGCGTTCTACATGACCAAGAAAGCCCGTAAATAAGTTGTTTCTCAACTGCCTATTGCATCATACGTCCCGCTTTATCCGCCACGAAAACGTTTGAACACGAACTCCAAGAAGTTTCTTTGTCGAGAGAGTGTCTATCGATAATGACCACTGTCACCGTTGACTAGTTGCCGAGTTGTCACACATGTCACTCAAACCCTAGCAGGACTTGTTCCGCGAATCCACGTAACAAGCGTAATATCAAACGAAAAAAAAAAAAAAAAAAACTGGCAACACTTGCAGATCTGGTCGTCTCGGAGAAGCCGCGTCGAGTTCCCACGGCGTAGGAAATCATTCTTTCCTCAATATCCCCTCTGTCCGTCGATGTCTCGCCGCCTCCAGGCCGTCCCGACCAAGGAAAAATCTGCCTCCTGGTCTCCGCACCGTCCGGTACGCCCAGCCCCTGGCCCCGTTCTTTCTTCCCTTTTGTTCCCTTCCGGAGTCGTCCATTTTCCCCGGAGAAAAGGTGGGGAAAATGGGGCCCATGAAACGAATTTTGGGTTGGGATAAATCAATTTAGATTGGGATTTTACTAATAGCACATCGTTCAGTGGGCCGAAAGAAAAAAGGTAGGAAATCAAAAGCCTGACTTTCATTGCGAAAATTTGAAAACACAGCGGACTATACCGTACCTCATCCCCTCGTAAGCTCTCTGCCTTTTCACTGTGATACATCCGCCGTCCCAAAAGCACGTCATCGGGTCCAAACGCACGTCACACGAAACCGGACCTCACTTAGTCCCTTCACCCCTAAGCTGACGTGGTGGAAGCTACGCGCTTGTCAGACCAATCAGCCCCCTCCCTTTCATCACCTGACCTCATTCTCTGCGCGTGGGTATGCGCGAAGGAGCGTGATCACGTGGCAAGTCTGGCTGGACCAACGAGCACGTAGCTTCCACAGCACTGTCAGCTTCGGGGTGAACGGGTTGGGAAAGCAGCTTTTTGTCTGAGTTTTGAGCGACAGGATAATCTTCTCAGGTGACAGTGGCTCTGTCCGGGTACACAAAGCAGATTCCGAGCAAGAGGGGCCCCCCTCTTTTCGTCTTCTCGAACTGTTTGGTGTAAGGCGCGATTTATG